ACGCTGCATTCTAACCTTTCCCAATTCTGATATTTTTACACGATTCTCCTGGGGTCCTGCTGTTGTTTGAACGAAGCGGCATTCCATTGAATACCGTTTCCATCAATGACAAAATGAACAATCTGAGCTGCTAATTGAGTTTTATCAGTGGTGAAATTCTGCCACAAATCGCATTTTCTCTAGCCGTTGCTTCATCAGCTGTTGATTGAAAGTATTACTTCACACAAGCACCTTAGGTAATTTGATATCCTTTTCCCAGGGAATTTAGATCACGAAAGAGATATATGGTTAGGTTTGTTGATTTAACGAGGCAGTTTCTTCACAGCCCTCACGTTCTCTACGCCGCAATACAACTCTGAGTGTCACATTTAAGGTAAGCCAGTGCCATGCGTGAGCCGATTGTTACCGCAATTTTGCACGATTCATGCACAAATCTTTGTCTTCAAATCTTGATTAAACTTTTACGTTTTTAAGTGCATGGCGTTTAGCCTTCGCTGCGAACATCTGATGACCAAATGTCTTTGTCAAATCTTAAATATGAAGCACTTAATGCAATGGCTATTAAGCGCCCTTGTTTTACTTAACGGATATCGAGAAACTTTGCGAAATTATTCATTGTTAAAGACGGAGTTTTTTTCAGTCGTATTTAGAATAGTCTTTTAATAATCCTGCTGAAATAACTTTAATGTTATTCCACTTTTGTCATTTGGAAGACAACGTAGTTCATAAGTCACGTACATAGCTCAAACTCGATTGTTTGCGTGTACAAACAAGTGTAGTGTTTCTTTCATTTGATAAATTGCCATGATGCGGGTCCCCCTAAATGGCTTTAAATGGTCGTCAGATTTTGGAATTAAAGAAAATCTTATGTAAACAGTCAACGAATGTCAAACATTGCATAATACGAAAAGTTGGGTATTCCAGAAGTCGGGTTCTCGAATGATAGGATGTTTATTTCCCAGTGTTATGAAACTGTGGCGCCTTGCTGCTCCAATGCTTTTCCTTCAAATGGTAAACAGGAAACTTTCATGAGCTGTAATATGGCTTACGTAAGACTGCTTGTTTGTGGAGTTAACCTGCACAAGCCATTTTAGAAAGTATCTCTAAAAGGCCTAGTTAGTTATCAAGAATTGCCTACTCGGAGGGAGTCGAACCAGGCAGTATGAAAGTGAAATGAGCGCAAGTCAAAAGTGTGGAGCTTTTGAGCCTTCCGGTCGAAAAGACATGATGACAATTCCTGTAAGTTGTAGAATTTCCGTAAATCTGTCGTGGCACGCACAAATACAACATTTTCACAGTGGGGAACCGACTAAAGCCAATGTTGTAGCTTGCGACGAAGTTGGTTGTTTTAAAGCTGTTATTTTTGCTATTATTATTTTTTTCGGAATGAGCGTCACGTTTTACAGCTATCGCATCCGCGGTAAGAATCGGGACTAACAAAGCCTGGACATAGCGTAGAATTCCTTTTCACTTAAAGTAATGAAGGCGCATCAGTTCACGCAAGTTAACTCATTACATAACAAATAAGGTCTGTAGACATAAAACTGTAAAACGTTAGGACAATCACTTATGTCATAACTTGAAATGTTTTCAGATTAGAGACACAGAATACTGTGAACCAATTTCTAAATTAATTAAAAATTACTGAAATAGTCAAGATATCACTTAATGCTCCGATTTGATTCATCCACAATCGACATTCTCTCGAAATTGTGTAGAGATTTATAAGAAGTACTATAATTTAAGATGCATCGATTAAAATAAGCAAAATAAATATGTATATTTCATTTTATGTCCCAAAATATTTTTTAACATAAGGTTGTAACTTGCTCTTAGAGACCAGATCTCAGTAATCGAGTTTACAGCGTGTTGAAATTAATTGTTGATAAATGTTTTCTTATCGTTGGTGTACCTTACATGCACTTCGAGAAAGCAATCAGATGATCGAACTTTTATCATTCATATACACCTTCCTTTAATTAATGCAATAGGGGTGCCTTCGTGTGTCCAAGACACGAATGTTACTGTTGAATCTCGTTGGTTTTTCAGAGCTGGTTAAAGAGCCAATGAAGCTTCCGTAAACGTGTTTTTTTTTGTTGTTTTGTATGAGGGCGCAAATTAATGGACTCAACACGCTGGATATCGAATGTTGTAATGCGTTCGTTGACAGTGGAGGCACGAACCCTGTAACTCCCTCTTGATGACAGGAGAGGAGATTGATTCAAACATTTTTTGGCGCCCGAAGGAGTCGTTATCTCTGTAATGAAAGATCCGAACGAAGACAAGGATGTGCCATAAACCTGACCCAGTCATTTCCAAGGTTCCAGTCAGTTGATGTTTGTTCAAGGATCGCCGCAGAATGTTTTGTATTTGGTCTGCGTGCGAGGCAGTGAATTTCATTTAGCTCCCAATGCGCTGCTCGCTTCACCAAAGAAATGATTCCTATATAAAGGCGCAGCATTTTGATAGCTTGTTAATAGATTGACTCTTTAGCCGCAGAAAATGTTGTACAGGTCCTACAGGATGTTCTCTTGGAGGAAACGACGACACTGTGTTAGAAGAATGTCTGTAACGCGTCAATTCCTGTGGAGTCGTCACTAAGTGTATGTCTTAAATAGTTACACTCCGCTTTCTTTACTTGTAAAGAAAATTAAAGGATTAAGGCAATGTTTCGCAACAAAAACAACATCTTCGAACCCTGCAAAGTACTTCTTAGCCTAAGGCACTTAGAAGGTGTTTTCTTTTGACCGGATATTGCGTACTCTTTTGTTGAGAAGAAAACTGGATGGAATTGAACATCAGTATCAGTAAAAAAGCAGAGAAAGTAACTTTGATATTTACCTTGACCAATAATAGGAAAGGAATTAGTTACGTATCTGGCGAATTTTTCACAAATTGTCTGTGTTCTTTGCAAAAATTGGTGGTATTAGAAACTTGTAAGATTTATCTCGCTCTCGTCTGCGGTCTACCTCTATCCTTCCCGTTTTCAATTCTCAAGAAAGTTAACGCGCCTATAGAAGGATTTAATCACATTCCATTGAAATCAGTCTGTAAACCGCATAATTATACGTTTCCAGGATCTCCGGAAATATCAGTAATGCGGGAAAAAGGCCAAAACGTGTCCTGATACGGAATGACAACGAAGACATATTGTTTTCATCATTTGCTCAGAAGGTTGTCTCCTACAACAGAAGCCAAAAGGTTACCTTTAGAGCTGAAGACCAAGTCAGGACAAATTATCACATTCAGTAACACATTATTAACACTGGAACTCCTTGAAAGAAAAAAAATTCGAATTTAGAAATTGAAACGGTGGTAAACAAAAACGAAATGTAAAGCAACCGCCAATCCAACTGAAGAGGATGACGTTTCCTGATTTCGCAGTAATCAGTTTGTTCGGTCGTGGGAAATTTGGTAGAAGACTGTTTGTGTAGTAGCCAAATTATAATGTAGCCATTAGGTCAATCCGCAATTGGCCACGCCAACGCCATCAAGAGGCAATCCAATTTACTTTGTCTCAAAAATGAGAAAAAAAACTGCTAGACTGTTCTTTTCCATTATCAAAAAATTTATGAAAAAATTTTCGCTTGATACATCTCGATCGAAAATTGTCAATTAGAGCGAATCAGACTTAAAAGACAATGATAAAATCCTGATATATGTAATGATTTAAATTTCTTACCTGTGACTGAAAGAGAGAGATAGGAAGCCTATGACTTCAGTCGATCACATCAGCACACAAACTCACTTGCTATGCTAAAAAAATGCGGTTTTATAGCGGAGGAAACTTTTCTTTTTATCCCTTAGCAATATACTCTTATTAGCGTTGTTCTTTTTCGTTCGCTTTAACCCTGGAAACTTCTGTAACACGGTCTTCCACGTCATCTCATTTATCCATTTTTTGTTCTTGGTAATCCTTATAGTTTGTAAATATTCAACAAAACTGTTCCAATTAACAGTTATTCCAAATTGTCCAACCTCGACTGCTTTACAATGCTATTTTTTCGCTGAAGACCACTTGGTCCATTTAACTTTGAGCGACATAGCGACAGGGGCGTTTTGATATAGTCACCGAGTTAATTCTAAGTTATGAAAATCGAGTGATGAAGCTTGATCGACAAGAGTTGAAATGACAATTATTTCTGAAAAGACTATTCAGTATTCATTTACATTTGATGTCCAACTGAAAGTGGACGGTGGAAAGAGCGAAGCGATGCAAGTCATAACGCTTTCCTAAATTCAAAGACATGCTTCGAATGCCGTTTTCACAGTTCGTGACGAAATTCTACGCATTTAATTCATCGAAAGAGGCAGAAATCTATGGACCTATAACCACATAGGGTGTTTGTACAGTAGTCTTTATCCTTTAAACACACACACAGTAACACTTCACGCGCTGAGCAGCCGACCTCGGCGTGTGGTACGAATGGGCGACATGAAATACTGTAGAAAACGCCACCAAAATCCTCAAATCCCTTTTTTAGGCATAAAGCACTCGAAAATCCGTTCAAGAATGTCATCTTTGTGGTTGTGAGTTTTTCCGCCTGCTGAAGAATTCAAGACGCAGTGTATAGCATTCCAAGAGAAAATTCCACCATTCCTTCAATTAAAAAGAAAGTTTAAAAAAAAGGGTTGATTGGATAAATCCTTCCACTCAACAGCGAATCTGTATTGGACGTACATTAAGAGAAGTTTCTTCTAGCTGGGCTCTCTTGTTCCTGTTGGGCAGCTGGCAGAGTTTGTATAATACCTGGAAGTTTCTTCTCCTTCGATTAATTATTTCCGCTCAATTCAAACCATCCCGTAAACCGCTAAGAAAGTCGCAGTTAGATTCCCAAAAATTAAAGGGATTTAAGCGCACAGAGCGTATTGTTAGTGGGCTGTTTTGTGCAAGAAATTATCGCAAAAATCGCCTCTGTTTAATGCTTAAAACGGATTTGAAAAGTTGTTGACCGGCAGACCTTTAAACATTTGGTAAGTTGTTTCGCGAAGCACTTATACGCTTTGGACACGGAATAGTTTGGAACGCAACTGAGATCGAGAAACTGTAGAGAGAGGTTCTTGCCAAGGGAAAAAAAAAAAATTAGAACTGGCGTGCTTAATGGATTAACATGCTTGTGATGGTTCTAGTCTAAAGAATGTCGGCAGTTCATTGGACTGAACAAATTGATATGTTCTATAGTTCCAACCGGTTACGAAAACACTAGACGTGGCCCTGTCCGTGATGCATCTGGGGCTTGCACATCTGTTTGCTATATTGTTACAAACGGCTTAAACGTACATCCAATATTTCTTTGCAGCAGCGGATGAGTGAAGCCACACCGATAACCTCAACCGATCAACAAAAAATTGCGGTCAGTAATTGCATTGAAAACAATCAAAAAAGGTGTGAGGCTCGTCGAGGTGGTGTGGTTAACGAATGTTAAGGCTTTCAGGAATTCCATTTGTGCTACAGCGAGAACATTTAAGTGGCTCTGGCAGACTGAAATACCACTGAGACTCGCTATCACTTTGTTACACAGGTTGGAAAGGTTGGAAATCAAACGGTTGGAAATCCAAAGACTTATTGGGCAGTATGCGTTCATTTTCTTTTCAAGTACTTGTCATCCTTACAACATTTGGAGGACTTTGTTCAGGTGAGGTTAAACGCATTTTCTTGACTTATAATGAAGTAGAATCACTTCGTTTTTGCCTTTGCGCAACATCCTTCCTAAAATGATCTCGAGCTTTTCTTTACTATTGTACAAATGAAAAAGTATGATGGGTGTTACAGTTAGTGATTGAGCCTCGTGTAAGCTAACAAGGGAATCGCAGTGATCTTAATGTATTTGTTGACGCTTAGATCATCACGTGCATAAGACAGTGATAAGTGCATACTTACAAAAGAGCAGACAAGGTGCAAGTATTCTTATCAACAAAACCCGCCTTTGATTTACGAGAGAATCTTTCGCCTGTCAAAGAAAGGTCCGTAATGCAAAAAAATCCACGAGAGCTCTACGAACTGCTAAACACTCATTTGCCAAGTTTCTTAACGCGTACACAACATCGTCAATGCAATTTTACACTGAAAAGAAAAAGAAAACGATGTCGTAATGTCGTTATTGTGGTCCTTTGTCTGGACTGGAAACAGAGAGAAACAATGTTGATCGGGACTTAGAAAAACATCGCGTAGCGGAGATTGTTTCTATCATTAAGGCGCAGTTGCAGTTTCGAATTTTCCTGAAAGGATATGGGAGCTTCCTAGAGTTCAACCTTAACCTTTTTTAGATACTGCGACCAGGCAAAGGTATCGTTTGTGACAACGACTGCAAGATAAAAACAACAGATTAGGATCGCCAGCTCTGAAATTGTTCAAATTCATTGTTATTGATTTTATAAGCCATCCTGTGTTATTAAAACAAGAGTGTTTTACCACTCAGCTGCGCAGTATGAGTCGTGACCTCTCCTTCTGAAAAACAGAAACGTAAAGAAGATAGCTGTGTTCCCAACCACGGCACGGAATTTTTCCCAGAGACACTATTCTTCATTTCATATAATCAGCTTAGCCAGAAAGTAATTGATATCGCACAGGTCCTGTGGTAGAGCCAGTTGATTCCTAGCGCCTTTGGTACGGCGTGATATAAAGCTAGAGAGGGACGATTGAAGTTTGTATTTCTACTGACAACTTGGACAAAAAAAATTGACTCTATACTGAGACATTAGAAGGCTCACGCCCCCACTTCGTATGCACATTTGGTGCGTTGTTTGTCTGGGTTATTGAAATCTTTCAAGGAAAACATTTCTTTTTATTTCGTGCTGGTGCTCGCGTTGGAATAGAGGCTGATTATAGAAGATTGACAAATATTAACGCAAGCGACATTCCTCAACATTCAATTCATTTTGATGCGTCATGGGTCATGACAGAAACGTTCAGTACCATCACTGCAAGGTCTTTTGCTGTCATTAACTCTTACTTCATGTTCGCGTTCAGTTTTCCATCTTTCCGACATTTTACAGGAAAATCTAATCAAATTGTGGTGCTTGATTGCCAGTCATATGATTACAGTTTTGCGTGGGCTCTGCGTATGAAAATAATATAATGAATTAACTTTAATTCTTGAAGCAAGAACTTTCCAAGGCAGCCTTACCGTTAAATCATTCTGTCTGGTTGTTTTCATCAAAGCTAAAAATAAGCCGCTGATGTGTTGTTGAATTAAACTGAATCAATACCTCTCGGGTGACGACTTTTCGAAAATTTCTACCGAACAAAGTCAATGTTATCTCTCTCCCTCTTTGCTGAAGCAACTTGAATCGCTGCGGGGTATGATCTGATTGTTAAAATTTCGCCCGAAGGTGATGCAAAATTAAATGTCCAAACTGTCGTTAAGCTAATTTAATTCATGTTCTGGCTTGTGCAAATGTATTAAACTGGCCAAACCGAGGCGTTTTAGTTTTTATTAATCATTGCTAACACTTGTATTCTGAGAATCTGGGTTCGACGCGTAGGGATTTGGACTCGCATCATCGTCATTATCATCACAAAAAATGATAACCCGCTTCGAATTAATTTGTTGTTATTTCATTTTGTAGTGATAGCTAAGAGTGTATCACAAGGAACAAGTTCAAAAGGTGAGCAAAAAAATTCATCATGACCACGAGTAATTAGTAAACTACTTCTCCTTTCTGAGTGAACACCATTCAAGCATTGGGTAAAACTAAGTATTTTTTTAGTACTATATCACTAATTTTTCTTTCATCATCAGATGAAGCAAGCTGTGAATTCGAGGAGACCGCCCACCCAGTGAACTCCACGTTTATCTCGACCGACTGTTCTGTGTGTTATTGTGAGATAGAAATGGGTTGGACTAAGGTGAGCTGTATACCAACCTGCCCTTCTTCACCCGTTAAATGTCCTCCCGGAAGTACCATGGAAGAGAAAGAACACCCAGTCAATGCGGGAGGTAGCCGCTGTATTTGTAGGAGGAAATTCTGTATCCCGAAAAAAGGTAACGCCAGTTTCATAACGGGTAGATGCCTATCTGTGTATGTGTGTGTTGTTCTCAAGAGCTCCCAAGAACGGCAATCTTGTTACCAGCTTTTCACGATGCGAATCTCTTAATGCGCTTCCTGATAAAAGCTGAATACAAAGCAAGTTGTTTTCCGAGACGATGAAATCAACTTTTCCATTTTCTCACGTTTACGTTTGTTGTGATTTGCCTGCTCAATATATGTTCAAATGTGTTTGCGACAGTCTCGTACTCGTTCAAAAACTCGCCTCCTTTTTTTCTCTTCTGTTTGCGTGTTTTTAATGTTCTGCGGTACTCTTTGTTATCAGGCTCACAATATGTGAGGCATAAATTAGTTTTTAATCTCTAAGAGCTTTCGCTATATGATACAAAGTAAACTGTCGTGAAGGTGATAACGTTTCAGCGAAAGTCTTGCATAGTAGCCCTCAGAATCCAAACACGGGCAGCGCCCATTTTATCCACTTATGAACTAAGTGCTCTGGGTTTTAACACGGTTACAAACTGTAATTTCTGGCTGACATGGGATACGTACAGTAATACAGTCGGTTTTTTTTTTTCGGATACTCTATTTCCAGTTTAATCCTCTTCAAAGTGTCCTTGACTTAAGAAGCCGCAAAGCGAGTGAGTGTGGTAATTCTATCGCCAATTAGAAAGCAGGAAATATTATTTTCAAGAGCCTTTTGTGAGCACGTTTTAAAATGAACGCTTCACATCGCATGAAAACAAAACGCTAGGTGCTTGCATGTAATAAATTCTTTCCCAGTCGTTTATTTATGTATGACGAGAGCTTAGATTTGAGATGCGTTTTTTTGGCGGAAAAGACCCCATTTTTTTTATCCCCTTTTCTTTTGTTAAGATATGTTCGTCAAGAACTTAAATAACCAACCAACGCAGACACATACATAAGTGACTTTGATGTAACAAAGCAACCAGGACCAAGTTAACTGTTACCTGTCAAAAAAATCCTGCGTTCAGTCAGACAGCCGGAAAACTACGACGATTTTAAGGTTAAACTGTTTCGGACATTTACTTAATCTAAATGTTTTTATTCGTTTCCTCGCACCAGGAGGAGTGGGGGACACAAAAATCTGATTCCCCACGAAGATTTTAACCTCAAACATCGCACCGCGCGATCCGAAGGTTTGAAGAATTATTGCATTTGAATGACTCAGGTTTTTTTCTTTGTGACCAACTCGAGAGAAACAAAAAACATCGCCTCTTTATTCCACAACTGAGCAGAAGTTCTCCATCTTTCTAATCTAAGATTTGTTTTGATATCTTAGGTTTCCAATTAAACATAACGTGATCATCTACGAGCTAATTATATTCCTCTATCCTGGTCGGTCAAAAATCGTCACCTGGGATAAATTTGAGGTTATTTCATTCCAAAAACCGAAGGCCTGGAAGAGGAAATCAGCGTAACATCGAGAAATATCGACGAAAGATTATTTTCATGCAATCGTCAACTTGTTTCTTATTTCGCTGACCGATAAAATTATGTTGTTGTTAAAACCCTTGTTTTTCAAGGGCATCAAATCTACCAGGCGGCTAATTAACTAGTTTACGAATGATTACCAGTTAAGGGAGATTGTGTCTACTGTACAACATTAGTACGTTTAAGATTTGTTGGAATCGAATCCATTTAAGCTGATGCCTATTGCTGCAAAACACATCAATCAATCTTAGGTGTGTAATTTCTCGTAGGTCATGGAATTAACTTGGTCATAAATTAGTCTTAGGATTTTGCAAAACACTTCTCGTAGATCATGGAATTAACTTGGTCATAAATTAGTCTTAGGATTTTGCAAAACACTTCTCGTAGATCATGGAATTAACTTGGTCATAAATCATTCTAGGGATGTGGAAAAACAATCAGAAACTTAACCCCGGCGATTTGATAGCATGCAGCCTCATTTCAGCATTTTGAGGAGGAGAAAGAAACTCTGAGATTTCCTCTAAAGGTGTTCAACTATTGGAATAGACATTTTGCTTGTGGTGGGAAAACAAATTTTAAAAATATTTTGCAAGATTGCTGAACTTTTTTTAATCTGTAACCTCTCCCATTGTTTTTTTTTTTCCCGTGACTTTCTTGATCTTTTTGTTTTTCTCTCTTGTATCTTCCCGTGATTGACTCCTGTAGCTGGACGCACGCAACGATTTGACCCTCATGCAAACAACGCAAAAAGGATTAACAGTGATTTGAAAAAATGGGATTATAGTGGGAGCTATTACGGTGCGCGTGTATTTCAGACTTCACGCGATAGCGTTCATTGTTGAGTGGTGGTCTGACTTCGAGTTCCCTTAGTAGGCGGTGTAAGGGACCAGTAGAGTGCAGCTTTACCCAGAACATAGGTCTCGCAATTCAAATGTGGTCTTGTTAGGACGCGTGATCAGGAGAGTCCAACACAAATTTGCGGCAATTTTTTACTCATCTAGTGTCTTCTTATTCGGCTTTATTTTTTCAGTTCTTTTAAGAAAACGTTTAGCTTAGCAAAAAGCGTCCTGATGCGTGTAGCGGTGTATTCGTGTGAAATGGTAAACACGACTAAAAGATAAAAAGATTAACTGGCGGATCAACTGGATAGGATGACATTGCCTTTCGGCGTCACTCTTTTTGGCCTCTGGATCACGTTCGTAAAACTGACTTTTATTTCCCATTTTAAATGAGAATCGATAAGAAAATTATATTCGTAAACAAGAAAGATGATCTAGAAGCTTCTCTAAACGAACTCCTCTTTGAGAGGAAGCAGATACTCAATATTTCTTTATCACAAAACTAAATGGTGAAGCAACATGATCCTTACGCAATTCGGAATCTATCGTATTTCTCACCGAAAAAAATTATGATACTAATAAAGCCTTCCGTTGCACAAACTGATAAGAATTATCTATCTTTATCAAAATTCCTCGCAATAAGCTGCATTCATCAGGCTCCAAAGGGCTGTGCCATGATCCAAATCAAGAACTAAGAGTGGCACCGAAGGATTTGCCAAACTCGAGCGGAAGATACACGTAGTTTGCTTAATCTTGCTAATAACGCTACTGTTAAAGAATAAGATCTACATGATGAAAAGCATGGATGCAAAGCTATTGCCGTTTAACTTGTCTAGACTGAAGCCAAATTGCTTTACACGACTACAGTGGCATCGAAAGCTAATTGTGTTGGATAAATTCAATATACTTCCGAGTCAAAACGTTGGTTTCCGCACCCTCGAAAGTATGATCATTGGTAAATAGGAGAACGCTTAAAAGGAGGAAATCTTGGGTTTTTTCGTTTAGAAGAGTAAATAAATAAACTAACTATCTCAATAAGGTAATTTTCTAATAAGCGTCGAAAGGATTGCGGCATTGCTTTCTGGTCTCTTTCCAATGGGGAGGGGGGGGGAGAAGGGAAGATAGTAATGGTAATAAGACTGAGTGGAGTCCAATTCGGTCTGTAATCAAGTGAGTGATGAACAAATTTGGACGACCGCGAGGCAGGTGTCCGATTGGTTAATTACGATCATGATCTGTGCTCAATCGGGCTGGTGAGAACCAATCACGTTCGAGAATTTGTTATTGTTTTGATTAACCCCATACCCGCCAGATGTGGTTTTTTATCAGTTCACTCATATTGTAGCAATTTGGTGCAAGGTATCTTTCAGCATGAGTATTGCGAATGATGGTTAT